AAACAGACCACTTTAAGGTTCCGTGTAATAAATTATTTCACCACAGCCCTTTCAAAGGACTGCGGATCATCAGACTTTACTTCCAAACAAAAAATGAAAAGAAAATTTACACATTTTTTATCTCACTCCTGTCTTCTCTCTCCCCACTCACTTCCTCACTTCGTTAATTTACATATGTTTAATAAGGCCCGTCAAAAATGTGTAAATTTTCTTTTCATTTTTTGTTTGGAAGTAAAGTCTGATGATCCGTAGTCCTTTTAAAATGGCTGTGGTGATATAATTTATTACATGTAACCTTAAAGTCGTCTGTTTTTATTTAAATTATTTGCACTGGATTTACATTGAGCTCTCTGGATTTTATCCTCCTTAGGTTTTGCCCATACGGAAATCCTAGTTTTTCATAAACTAAATATATATATATATATATATATATATATATATATATATATATATATATATATATTGGCACTAACCCATCTTTAATACATGTATTGTTGAACAAGATTGACAAAGCACATTTTTGTAGCGTTTATTATATTTTTCTTGCCTTCTTTTCTAGAATTGCCTAAAAGTTTCTTTGGAGATCTTTTGACAAGAATGTTAGCCATTTTTAAGGATTATTTTTTTTTATTATTATACTATTATAATAGATAATTTGTAATTGCTATTGTAGATGTTATAATTTTCAAACAAGACTCACTTGTATGTACGCTTTTTGAAATGATTCATTGGATTGATTTCCTTTTTGAAAACAACCAGGCTGCTTTTTCCTCTCATGAAATGTTTAGCAATGTATTGAACAAAATTATAAACAAATACATGTTTATTATCTACTAGCAGTAGAGCCCGGCGTTGCCTGGGGATGTAACAGTAAGAGATAGATCAAGTATCCACCATCATAAAGACTGAAAAATAAAATTGACAAAGATTATTTTGTTTAAGGTTGTCGGACACGCATGTCTTAATTAGTTTTTTTTTTGTTTTTCTTTTCTTTTTTTTTTTTTTTACGAATTGGTCAAACCCGAACTATAACATTGTTTTCAATTGTTATGAGTCTAGCGATTGAATAGAATTTTATTATAAACAATTGTCTTGTAAGTGGAATTTTTAAAGCATTCTGAATGTAAAAATAAAGAAAAAAGTGTGCAAGACAATAAGAAACACTACCTGCCAAAAAAAAGTGAAGTTTTGTTGAAATCGGTTGAAAAATGTAGGAAATCCGATCCAATATATAAACGTACACACACACACACACACACACACACACACACACACACACACACACACACACACACACAAACAACCTGGGTTTTATAATAAGTATAACTCGATATGAGTTGTCCCCCTTTCATTCTCGTGATGCCTCTTAATCGTGTTTTCAAATTGATTTCGTGGAAAGACAATTGTTTTTTTTCCCAATTTTTGGCGCTGTCAGAACCACCGCAAGGTAATTTTACGTAGTCCTCTGAAGTTTTGTTGAAATCGGTTGAAAAATGTAGGAAATCCGATCCAATATATAAACGTACAGACACACACACACACACACACACACACACACACACACACACACACACACACACACACACACACACACAACCTGGGTTTTAGAATAAGTATGATTTTAATGTATCTGTCTATATCTCTAAGATGAGGTACTGTGATTACTTACATTACAATATTCGGACTGTTATCCTCATCTTCATAGCCATATTCACAACGTTTCGGCAATTGTACGTTCCGGCCTTCTTTCGAACCGCACCCTTTATTTCTAGATTTTTCTTGTTCCGCGTGCCATGCCCCTTCCGGATGTCTTTCCCTTTAACTCAACTCCCCAAGTTTTAGTTCACCACTTCTGTGGCCTGGTATTGAACTCACAACTCTTTTAATCTTAGTGACTGGGTCTAACCAATATCTTTATCCACTGCACCATATTTTATCGTAATCATAAATTTTAGATTTCTTTTCAAAAGGCTAACAAACACGATCGGGCAGGACGAAAAAAGAAAAACCTTGATCTAAACATTCCAATATTAATATAAAAATTAAAATTCAGATGACTAGCATATTACAATCTGTTTTTAATCTTCCAGGCATCGGGTCTCATCAATCTCATTCAATGTTAATGCCCCAGAGGACCACAAGTGATAAAGTTATTAAATGATTACATAGCCCTAGTGTATCAGCGTATTTAAATCTTTGTCTATAAATCTGAGATGATTAAGGACTGTGTGTACGCCGTCCCGTGCAGCTGTGGCAAGAAATATAATGGAGAGACAGACCACCTCCTTAAGATAAAACTGCAGGAACATCGTAAAGCCGTAACACGAATGGAAATAGAAAATCAGGGTCGGCTGACAATATATGGAGGAAAAAGTGAGATCAACGCCTCCTGTGGGATGAAGTTGAAATAATAGACAGAGAACATCATTGGAAAGTAAGAAAACTTAAAGAATCAGCGTATACGATTAGCCGGCCGAGCATAGACATGAATATAATATGGGAACCAGTCATACAGATAGCTAGTGAAAAACAATAATAATAATAGAACATTGTAACATTGTAAAAAATGATTACTGAGACATTAAGTTTATAAGTCTCCACAATTCGCAATCTGAGTCTCCCTGACACGATAGATGCGTTTGTTGAGAGATCCTAAAAGTGACTTGACTTAAAGAGTTCTGTGTTCAATACGTGGCCATTTTTTTTGAGCTTCTAAAACACGTAACGTGTACAAATGTCTATCTACGTACATTATATATGTTCAAAAGTTTCTCATATCTGGTGGTGATAGTGTGGACAAGCTCGCACTGTCTATAAAATGCTTCCGTGGCATCCGTCTCAAATAACCACTGACAAGTAATTCCAGCTCCAAGCCGGAAAATGGGTGAATGCGGAAAACTGGCGCCTCATAACCAGCTGCGTCGGGTAGCTGGAGCTCGACAGCCCAGAAAGGTAGTCCATTTCGGGAAAGGAAAACCCTGATTTTAAACCACCGCTGCCTTGCGGTCATATCCAAAACATGAAAGAGACTATGGAAGTAAATCCAGACAGAAACCCCGGAGTGGAGACCTAAAGGCGGTTAGATCTTAACACTGACAACTTTCAAGTAGCTTCTGCAGCCAAACTGTCGCCAAATGTCATGCCCTCTTTTCCTATGCATCTTGTCGGTACGGCCGAGAGTGGCAGAGGCGGGGGCGGAGGCATGTAGTATGGCCTGCGCCTGGCCTTCATATACTATCGCCGGTCAAGGAGAAGGAAAACTCAGGATTCAAACCACCTTTTGTCTCGTAGGTTTTGCCTGTTTAACTTCTGGGAAGAGAGATGAGGCAACCTCAATATCCCCGCAAGCCATCGCACTTTTTTTTTGCCTTGAATGTCATCAGGAACCACAATTGTGAGATGGAAACAAGTGGCTACCACCACGGCTCAAAACGTGTTACCTAAAAAAATGAATTGGAGAATTAGACATTCACTGGCCAGAACAAGCAGAAAGCACTATAGCAGGGTTTTCTCAAATATTTCCTTCTTGTGTATCCACCTGACTGCATTATCATCGCGTTTGAAAAGAATAGTATATAATATAGTATAAAATTTTAACTTGTACACTACAGTTATGTTATTAGGTTGGCGCAAAAATAACGTCAAAAAACGACATTCTTACGTCATTATTTTTGCACCAACCTAATATCATTTGCCCGGATGAAACTTCCTTAGTCCTGGGTATGACGATAAACTACATCCAGCAGCAAGGCCTCTGATCAGGATATTGGAGGTTTTGAGGAGCGTGGAACCATCTCTTAATTGCTCTTATTCCCAGACCCACCCTGACCGGGGTGGTATCACTTGTTAGGGTCCTAGCTATAGGCAAATAGTGAGCCGCCCCCAAACAATAGCGAAAAACCTATGAAAGTACATTTCTATACATACATATATATATATATATACAGTGTAACCCGGATATAAGAGAGTTGTCGGGACCGGAGAAGAAGTCTCTTATATCCGGGTTTCTCTTATATTCGGGTTTGGTCTATTTTGTTTAGGTAACACAAGCTCTAATTTGGGACCAGAGAAAATCTCTCTTATATCCGGGTTTCTCTTATATCCAGGTCTCTTATATCCGGGTTACACTATATATATATATATATATATATATATATATATATGTGTGTGTGAAAATATATAGAAAATAGGAAGGAACTGGTTAGGTAAATAATCCAAAGTCCCTTAGTATTTTAGTTATTATTTTTTAAAAAATAGTGCTCGATACAAAAGTAGAGCATAAATATAATTATTTATTTAAAAATATGATTCCAAAACGCTACATAAGAAGTCTCATGTTTCAAAACACAAAAAAAACTTCAATATAATTATTTAGATTAAATTGAGTTAAAATAAGCTCTGTTCCATCTTCAAGCGAATTTTTTTTTATTCCAATTTCGCTTGAAGATGGAACAGAGCTTATTTTAACTCAATTTAATTAAATAATTATATTGAAGTTTTCGGCTCTTGTTTTGAAACATGAGACTTCTTTATGTAGCGTTTTGGAATCATATTTTAAATAAATAATCATATATATATATATATATATATATATATATATATATATATATATATATATATATATATATATGTATAAATACATTTTATTGTGAAATGACCAGCAATACATATTTACAGCAATTCAGGCGATGAATACCCACAGGGAGTATACAAAAAGAAATTTAAGGTTGTACGCGATCAATTTTTCTCGTACTCAGTACGTTTTACGAGAAAACTTTCTGTCCCTTCAACCAATTGTTACCCCGATGTAAATTTTCTTTCTGTCCATTGTAGATGTACATGTGGTGTAAAGGATATCAGTTCGTATTCCAGCCGGGCTCGTTCTTGCCAAATGTATGAATCTATAGCCTCTCAACTATGGGTTAAATAGTAGAACATGTATCTTAAAAAAATATTATTTCTCTCAAAATCAAATTGTTCAAGCACTTAAGGCCACATGACGTTGAAACGGCGTTTTTCGTACGATCACCGAAGTTAAGCCATTTTGAGCCGGGTCAGTACATAGATGGGTGACCGCTTGAGAATACTAGGTGCTGTAAGCTTGGATGCCCAGGCGGTGTAATGAATAATGACTGGGAATTGTTCACCGGAGAACCGAGTTCCAATTCCAGTTGGGATCGTCATATTCACTTAAGATCAAGTACGCTTGGGGAATCTTTCACTTGACCTCCCCAGCTAGAGGTTAACTAGTAAGTCTTGTATCCATAAACCATCAATATATATATATATATATATATATATATATAAAGCTCAAACACTAATATTCCATGGTTATAATTTATTACATTGGAATTGTAATCACAATCCTATTCATCAGACCTACAAATTCATTTTCGAAGTTGTTAATCAAAGCGGGTTGCTTTTGATTAATTGTCTGATTTGATGGAATTTGTAGGTCTGATGAATTGGATCGTGATTACAATTCCAATGTAATAAATTATAACCATGGAATATTAGTATTTGAGCCTTTTATATTATATTCTTACTCTGTCCTGGACACTAAGTTCTACTTGGATTCTATCCTCTTGGGAATTTATGTATATAAATTTATGACCACTAATATTATCAATATCTTTATATATATATATATATATATATATATATATATATATATATATATATAACAAATACTTGCTAGCTAAAAGTATTTTTTGGCTTTAAATAAACCTACAAAGGGTTGATAAACCGTCAAAAATGAATCAATCAATAAAGAGTTAGTTTTAAAATCCAAAATATGTTTCGGTTTTAAATAACCCACAAAGGGTTGATAAGCCGTCAAAAAGAAAATGAGTCAGTTAATCAAAAACAACCCCCTTTGATTAACAACTTCGGAATCGATTTCATGTTAATCACAAACCTGTTCCAGACAAATTGCAAGATACAGATTCTATAGAATCTTGTAATGGTTCAGTAGCCATAGTTGTTTTTCAAATCTCTTCCTTAGCAAAGTTTTGGTGTTTCTCAACAAAACCACAGACATCTGCTTTTAGAAAAAAAAAGCGTCTGGAATGTATTAATGTACTGCTATTTAACGCCGCGGACAATGTTTTTCAACAATTTGAATGATCAAAACCAATTTTCGCACAAGCGTATCAATTCAAAAAGATTTTTGTCTCTCTCTCTCTCTCTCTTTCTATCTTTTTCTTAATCTTGCCTCCCTATGCAAGGCGATAATGCCACTGAGACGCAAGGTGTTACCGAGAGTGAAAGAAGACTGGAAAATGTGAGTCGGGAGAAAACGGACACACACACACACACACACACACAGAGACACACACAGAGAACAGGATTCAGGAAGACAGAAGATAGCGACTGATGTTGCATTTATATTTTTGGGAGATCGTAGCTAACAGGAAATCAAGAAGCCATAAAAGATTTCCATGAACAAGAAATGGGAGAAAAGAAACTATTTGAATAGAACTTACGGTTACAAATAGCAAAACGATGAACTGACAATCTAGTCAGTTGCCATACACGATACACGCTTGAGCGATCATATCTCCTTCCGATTTATGACTGACTGAGCATAAGACATTCCCGCAGTACGCGGCTGTTTCATTCGGTATTAGCCTGGTTGCCAAATTTATCCTGCTATTCAATCCATAGCTTGGGGGAGAAGAGATGCATAAGTGAGTGCAACGAACCCAACTGGAATTAGAACTCGTCTCTCCAATTTTTAATTCCGAACCGATATTCATTCTAGTATTTCATCTGAATATTCATGAGGTTAAGGGACCATTTAGGAAAGCTCATTAGAACATTAGCCATGAAAATGTTTATAAAAAAGACAGAGGGAATCCAGGTCAGAGCGATGGTGACTGAAGTCGAGATGCCAGGTCAGGGCATACAACATAACAGATATTCTTTGGATTTTATCAAGGATCATGAGGTATATAGCAGGTACACTAGACCGGGCGCGGCAGCAATATTCAATGCACGGACGAATTATAAACGTGCAAGATGGATTCTGTCGAGGAAAATCGTCGAGCACGGCACAGTGAACCGGTGTTCCTTGCAGCAGGCCTACAAGATGAATTCTGTGTTGGTCAAACACTCTGCCTCCGGGCAGAGAGGATCCCCAAACGAGGCTATGCCGAAGGGCAGAGTCTAGTCTCAGGAGATAGCTACCTGACCCCGCTTTTACAGGCTCGGATACCCCGCAATAAACTTGACTTTGTCCAGCACCCGACCGCGTGGGGCGGTTAGTGAATATCTCATTATACGGATTACCATAAGGATCACTATACGGATTACTATACAAATCACTGTTTGGTGGTTACTTTACGAGCGAGTATTATCGTGCAAGTACTATTAGTCTAAGTGTTATTCGAAGGCGTCTGACACCAGTATTGTTCAACGGCGTTACTATTGTTGTATCTGCGATTACACAGTCTCTACTACAACGAGAATTACGAAAGTGACAACGAGTATTCGTTGACCTTACAAAAGTGGCAATGTGGGTTCGTTGCTATCACAAAACACAGCCTTACAAAATTTATAAGCTTTATAAATATCTCACTATACGGATTACTATAAGAATCACTATTCACAAAATACTGCTACATCAGGTTTGCTGCTCTTGCTATATACGTCGATATTCTCGACAAAATCCGAAGAAGAGTCTGCAATGTTATCGGTCCTGACCTGGCATCTATGTTTCGGTATCTAGACTCGTTAAGTAGCTTACTAACCGTTTCCGCTTGACTTCAGTGACCCTTTGCGTGTTATAGAACTTTGCGTGTTATAGAACTCTTTCTGGTTCTCTGCTGTGTTCCATTAGGACGGGTGAGATAATTGCTCTCCGCAGTTCCATGCTCTTGCGCGGCTGGTTTCTCTTTTTTTCTCTCCTATCTATTTGTTGCGGAATCTATGCTGAGTAAGAAGATGTATCAGGAGGTGATTTTTTTGTGAAGGCCAAGAATGTGCGGTGATCGTAATGCATAAATCAAACAAAAAATAAATAGACAATTCAACTTCAAGAAATTACTGAAAACAACATCATTAGAGATTTCAACAATAACATGAATTTATATATATATATATATATATATATATATATATATATATATGACATACACAAAATGATAATAAGTTGCTTGTTAAATGCGGCAAGTGAGATAAAGTTACAAAGATTGTCCATGCAGAAATTTAGTGAGTAAAGGTGGATAGCTTAAGTTTGTTTATGGAATTAAAATAGTTTGATATCTGCAAGGAAAATTGTCAATTGTGTAAGTTCAAGTGATAGTGTGTATGTGTGTGACAACTCCTCGTGTTGATTTAAGTTTCGAAGAGTTGTTCGCCTTTAACTGATAGGCTAAAGTTGATTGAATGTAAAATCACTGTTTTGTAGTGATAATGTCACTTTTTAGTAAATTGTAAGTTAAGTTTCTTCACGTGGCAATAGTTGTGCGAGTTGTATTGAGTTGTTGAGAGGTTGGTAGTGGTTATTGAGTCAGTGTGTTGGCACGCGTGGGGTCTGCTGGTATCTCTCGAAGCTCAGTGTCTGAGTAAATTGAATTAAGTCGAGCGAATCTTTTTATAGATTTTCGAGTTTCTAAATAGGCTCCAGAGACCTGCGCGAAAAAACGGTTTGTCTCAACTTTTTTACATTTTAGTGTCCTTTTAACCAATGGGGGATGGAGTTTGGAAAAGTAAAGTGATGATTGGTTAAAGGTTTATTTGGGGAAGAGTGCATCTTCCCGTAGGGGGTGACAGGCAAGTGTGGAGGATTCAGATAACATTAATTAGGTTACTTGCTGTTTCACCCTGCTTCTCTTGTTTCCACTGTCTCCTCTGAGTGTTAAATTCTCTAGGCCCTCTTTTCACTTTACTAACCGGCTATTTAAATTTCGATTTTTCCCAAACCTTCTCCTGTTGGGATCGCTATGAATTGAGTGTGAAATCAGAAGGTTTTAGTTGCTAGCGTGATGAGTTTGAAAGCATGTTTTTCACATGAATCACAACAAATAAAAGCATAGACGTATAAGTTGCATAAAACTCAATGCAAAATGAACAAGAAACAACGGTGGATGTGCATTCAACTAGAAAATATCGAACATTTATATACAATTTTTACAAATAGAGAAAAGGTCGTGTATTGATGTTATGCAAGTTGACGAAGTTTGCATCAAGGATATTAAATGAATTAAAGTTCAGCAATGATCAATTGTTGAGAAAATGTTCACATTGTAATACGAAGGGAAAATTTATCGAGAAATAAATTTAAAAATAATGTATGTGAGATTTAAGTTGAATTTGTTAACCTTGTTCTGACAGAGCTGTTCACCATGGACTGTATTCTCTTTTGTCTTATGCTAACATTACAATTTCTGTTTCGTAGTGTAATTAACACTTTTTAAGAAAGCTGTAATGGGGTTTTGAGAGATAGAAAGATGTTGGCAATAGAGTCAGGAGTTGACGCGCGAAAAGTTCTCAAGTCAAAATGTCGACACGCGTGGATCTGTGTGGAATCTCTCGGAAGGCGAATTACTGACGATATTCAGTCCCCCCCCTCTGGGGCATCATGTGGCACAAGGCCGGTTATTTAATGTGGGATCTCCGAGCCCGTCGGCTCGGCCCAAAAATATGCCGATTGAAACCGTATAAACGGGTTCAGGACCGGTTTACCTCCCCGAAAGAGACTCCGCCCTTCGGCGTAGCCTCCTTCGGGTTCCTCCCCGCCCGAAGGCAGAGATTTCAACCGTTCAGCCGGTAAGGAGGTGAACGGACTGAAATTCGTCATTTTATTTATTTTGGGAAACCAAAGTAGTCTCCCAGGAGCCTGGCGGGAAAACAGATTTTTGAACATGGATACACATTCTGGGGTCGTCTCGACCAATAACTAGCCGTGTTTCACAATGTATGGTGTTGATTGGTCAAAGCTAATTCTTATAGAAGAGTCTAATTTTTAACGAGGGTGAGTAGACAAAAATGGACGATTCTATACTCCCCAATTATTTCAGACGTCTGTTTACTGTATTTTCACTTAATGAGAAAAAATAAAACTTAGCGAGAACTATAAAGAAATTTTACTTGTTTAT